TCTGCTACTTCTCTGCTCAGCAATTGGAGGCTGTAATTTCTTTGATTTATCTGATAAAGACAGTGCTGTACTCTAAGTTGTTTGGATTGCTAGTGTGATTGTAATAATCGTTGTGTGTTGATTTCTGTTGTATGGTTCAATTTGTTGTAGTTTTATAGTAGTATTGAACTTTTTTGTTTGTATAGCATTTTGACATTTTTGCATTGTCGTTTCTCTGAATTGTCACGGATCCGTTTAGATTTTCTTCATCTTTAAGTTCCATTCCCTGGCTAGATGCCTTTGGCCTTTTTCCTTTTGGTACCACTCTCATTTTTCCTTTCTCCGTTTTCTCATCCGATATGTTTTCCCATTTCCAGAATTCATTATGTCATGTGCCCTTGGGCTTAATTTAAGGAACCGGCAACGCTGCACCTGCAATAGCTCGGTAATATAGAACTGTGTAAGTCTAAAACCCTTATCACATACGATATTTGTTGCCGTAACAAAACGTTTGGTGGAACAGTTCTGAGAAACACTCTTTGGCGAAATAGAGTTACCATCTTCACTTGGTAAACAGTCTGGAAGCCAAACAAGAATCAGTTATCGCTCAGATTGGCGAAAGTGACGTTTCCTTTCAAGTGCCGTTCGCTTCTTCGTGTTGTTTTGTATCGCTCACACTCTTTTTCGTTTTAAACTTAGTAGTAATGGAAGATAATAGAAAGGTGATTGCTATCAAGTTAATGACTTTGATCTCCACTCTGGTACTTCAAGTAACAGATAAACACACTTCTGGTTATAGTAATTAATTACATCAGTATAGCCAAATTCTTTATACACTAAGAATAGTTTAAAACGTGTGCTGAACAATTTATCATACATCACTTATGTGTATTTTCTGTTGTCTGCATTCCAATGAAAATTTGATGGCTCACTGGAAAATTTGTGACCTGGTGAAAGCATTTTCTTGACTAATTTTATGGCTCATAATTACTGTTCTGCCCATTCAAACAAACAAACAGACAAAAAAAAAAAAAAAAAAAAAAAAAAAAAAAAAAAAAAAAAAAAAAAGACCTATGACAAAATTCTATATGGCTGATATTTACATCCTCACAGCCAGCAGATACTATTTAGCAAAATGAAGATCAAATAAAGCATATGAATACATGAGCAATCAAACATGTGCGAGTTATTTACTGTTCCATGGAACACTCAGTAATATACCTAAAACACATTAATTATACCAACTCCAACTCTAGAAATTAGGTGGTGCACATCATGAGTTTGTTTTATGTGATTACGGCAAAGCCTCGAGAGATATCTGCCTAACAGGAGCGATCCCTTTCTAGAAGATATTTTAAAACTGGCTCGTTTACCAGTTACAAATGGGGAAAACCAAGAAAACGCCCATGTAGCCTGCCCGTTCGCGGCATTCTAACCTGAGACAGAACTACCAGTGTTCAACGACGCTTCGGCCACTAGTAGGCACGTGCACTTAATTGGAAAGTACAATTCATTATATAAACAGACATGAAGGTGATAATGAACTGTGCACTGTTTTAAGTAATCAAATGTTATTAAATGCACAGCTATAAATTTCTTATTATTTATTAGTCATGTTTATATTACGTAGATCATACATATAATTATGAATTAACCCAATAACAAAATGTGTACACTCTTTAGTACTCAAATACTCATCAATTATATTTCAACTGATTATTACATGTGAATAATAATTTGCAAAGAACTGATGACTACAGTTGCTGCCAATTACATGATCGTTATATGAATTAAAAGTAACTTCATATAAACTTTTTGGCAATGTTCATTTTTGTATTCATACACACACATCTAATAAGTCATATATTTACATACAGATAGAGAGATGCGATGGTTTAGAAGTTGTTAATATATATTTATTAGCTTTTATGTAATGAATAAGATTTATATTAATGAATGTATATACAAATGTTTTTCATGCATAATAATAAATCCATAAATTACCAATGTTTCAATATGTAGCATTTACAATAAAAGTATAGGTTTTATAATCCAATATTATTAAAAAAGACAAAATTTAATGAGTATTCATTATGACATAAGCTATGCTTTTCTTTTTTTATGCTCATCTTTTAAATGTTTAAAATGGATAAGTAATTGGATGAGCCGCAATTAAAAAAATTCAAAAAAATATTCAAAAAAATTAAGAACTTTAATAAAAATTCTATTATATAACAGTGATAATACACGATCAGCACGAAATACGACAAATTTGGCGAACTTTTGGCGACGAACAATTTGTAAACAAATCCGAACTGCAAGAACGTCGTAAAATACTGTCAACTCTGAAATTTCCACGATTATATATTTAATGAATATATAAACATTTAAAAAATGACTCAGGCAGTTGAATTACAACAAAACAGCAATAATTAAATCGGCCTCTATTTCCACAGTCCATCACTTCACAGTGAGAGCCATCGCCATATTGAAAGTTATACCCGTGATCCTTCAGAAGCAGAACTTTCGTCTGATTGGTTGAATGTTCGAGGAACACGTCTCCAGCCGGAACATTTTCGGAAAAGTTTTAAAATGTTGCTCGTAGCCGGGACATGTTCCTCCTAGCTAGACGAAACATTTCTCGGAAGCCTCCCGCTTAAAGCAGTGCTACTAGAATCTCGTTTCTCGGAATTGTCTCGGGTAGCCGAGCGCGTCCCTAGAAGTGATAGCCTCTTAAGATTCAGTGAAGGACATAGGATACGCACACGGGGTAGTCGGCGGACAATGAAGAGCGGAAAAGGTACTCCATAACGTGTTTGAACATGCATGGTGTAGGAATAGGCATTACGGGTACATTAATAACACTCCAATGTGCCAAAGTTAGGTGAATTTTCAGAATTCATTATGTCATGTGAAAGCCCTCCACGAGCTTAGCCATATCTCGTTTGTCTTACAAATGATGATCGCTGTATGAGGATGAGGGTAGTGGAGACCTGGCCATTGGGCGGATGCTGTACCATTTTTGAGCGAGATGCAACCCGTCAATGCAGAATGATGTTTTAAGCCTTTCATTTCTTGTTGGCATTACTAGCACATCAACGAAATGCCACTATATTGATAATGTGTTGCAAACCCATTGCTTCTGGATCTTTGCTGCAAATGGGGATCACACATGTCATTTTGCAATATGATAAAGCCCGGCCACACACTGCTAGGCTGACCCTAAATGCACTGCAAGATTTACAAGTTTAACTTTGCCAGTCCAATCCTCTGATCTCCGGCCAATTGAGGACTCATGGGACATAATAGGTTTGATCTGAGGTACTTTATTTTCGCAATAAACGTCGGGGCTAAGGAGATGGATGCCTTCGTGGAGGGCTGTCTAAGAGAAACTTGCTCTTGACCACGTTACACATGGGCAAAATCACGAAAAGCCTATGTAGCCATGCCGTTACCCTGGAATCGAACTCAAGTCAAACTACCAGTGTTTTGCGACGCTACCGCTCTGCCACTGTTGGGTGGGGCATAATAAAGCTTTGGGTGTATACTTCCCCTCCTTGACGAAGAGAAGGTGAACTGTGAAGTCACTAACAACGCGTTATGACAAAATCGATATCGATCTCATTAGAATCAACGGGGAAAAAAAACTGCCAAAATTAATTAATTAATTATATTAGAATTAGCCTGAACAGTTTGTCTTAAATCTTTTACAAAATACTCAAACTTTAAAACCTCTTTTTTATTTCTTTAAATTAAAAAAAAATACTACAATGTACACATTAGAATAATAAAAATTATATCTTACCTTATATATTTACATTCCTGTCGAAAAAGAATGAGACAGACTAATCAGCCAACTTACTTAATCCCTTAGTATTATTTGTCTGCTTCAGAAATACTATAAATGAAGCTATTTATGCAGCTCCCGCGCAAACTGAATGCGGATACAAGCCAAAAATTTCGATCCATTGGAAAACTCGTTCATTGGAAAACTTTACCCCTCTCCACACACACACACACACACACACACACACACACACACACTACTTTAGATTACTTTCTACTTTAGATTTTTACGTGTCCCCCTCCTAGGATCTTCAATGCATCAAAATCATCTATAGATGAATTCATGCACATGACTTAATAACGCAACTAACTCGGATCTTAAATTGAAACTTTTATCTTAATAATTTGCAATATTGGATAACTGCGCACTTCAGCTTCCCGTAAGACGCTGCTTCGCTTCTCTCTTCCTATCGCATCAGTATAAAAAATGTTAATGTTTTGGAATATGAACGGTTACAGTGACAAGTTTGTTGTTCATAACGGATTCTACGTCCTACGCCATCAATATTGCAGTCTTTTTTATTACATATATATATAAACTAAGACAGTAAATAATAATATAATACATTTTATTTTCAATCACCCTTGTTTATTTTTTCGGATGTTATTCCAAAAGGAGTTTACTGCAATTGCAAAACTCAGCAAATTACATCGCCATCTCTGCTCAATTAGTGCAGTGGACTTCGGGAAGCTTGCCGTAACGAAGTAGGAGCTATAAAGAGCTTAGTTTAAATTAATTAGAGACAGCAAAGAACTACTAATATTGGCAGTATGATATTTTCTGTAAAGGTTTAGTGTTAGTCTGTTGAACTCGTTACACAAAACATACGTCAACTTCATCATGCTACTTTCAATAGTAAATTTTAATGTTGGAATATAATGTATACACTACTGTGAAAGCTCATCTGTTTGTGAATTTTTTTAGCTGGATTGTTTATAACACAAAATACTTTTGGTATTCTTTGACGTGTTTCAAAATTAAGAGTTAAAAATCATACCATTTTTTTTTAAAAGAAATTTTCTAATTTTCATTACTAAACTGGTGCCCTCTCTATTTTGTTTACCTTTGTATTTTGTTTACCTGCAAGTAGGTATATTTCGTTGAATTTCATTAAATTTATTTTATTATTAAATAGTATTTACATGAATAAAATTACATAATATTACATAGTATTTACACAAATAAAAATTTAATTTTCTTACACAAGTGTGAGAACGTAATCTGAAAAGTAGGAATTTTATAGATTACTAATAAAGCTACGGAATTTCTAGATAAGTTCATTCGCTAAAAACCGCAAAATACATTCCTTTTTAAAATCTATTGCATGTGTGATGCATTACATTCTTTCCGAAATACCACTTTCGGTAACATTGCTTATATCCGACGAATTTATAGAATTCGCAGGTAGGGAATTCAAGAAAAGTTTGTCTATTGATTGTCCTAAATTTTGGAAAAAGTCTCCTGTTCGGAAAAGAGAACGTGTACGGCCAGCATTTTGCTCGATATCCTTTGCTTCGTTCATCTGACGAAGAATATTAGCTTTTTGATCTTGAAGAAACTTTAAAAACTTGGGGCTTTTCTGATTTTCTTGGATAAGATTTAAAACTTTTGAAGAATTTCCATCAATATACGAAAATAATATTTTGCTGCTCCGTTTCAGATTATCGAATAAATCCACTGATGTTCTGTTTAAAACATCTAAACTTCTTACTCTGCCCTGAAAAAGTAATAACATATTCAAGTATATTAAAAACGCGGTTACTATGTACAGTTGTTTACAAGTTACTCGAAAAACACGGATACGAACTTCGCTTACTTATACATCGATCCTGAGTATTTATTTCTAATTACAGAGTTTCTTAAAAGAAAGTGCAGAATTTTATTAAAACAGTTTCAACACTGAGTGAGAACGGCATTATGAAATCAAATCTGATGTTTTTATAAGCTTTCGCTGAGTTAAAATTACATTTGATAAAATATTAATAATGCTAGTAAGTAACGTTTCATACCGCAGACAGAATTTGAAAAGGTGTGCTTAACAATTATTTTCCACCTACAGTTAAATGGCCAGCTGCCATTTTATTGTTTTCTTATTTATTTGAATATGGTACAGCATATAAGAATTATCTGTCTGAAAGGAGTGATGCCTACCTGAAAAAAGTTCTAAGAGACACCGTCTTGCATTGGCGTTACACGTGTGAGGCAAATCACGAATACAGCCAGTCCATTTGCAAGATTTTGAACAACCTAGGTCAAATTATATCAGTATCCACTCGGCCTCTGGTGAGCAACAAATTTTAATGACGATTACTTATCTTTATGTAATGTCGGAAAAAATCGAACGATGAATTCTAAAATAGAACAGCTGTTTTGTTATTGCACTATAACTTTGTTCCCCTCAAAAATCTTGAATGAAGAAGGCAACAAGCATGAAAAATGACCTAAGTTATGATATCCGTTCCCGAGTATTTCTGCTAATTCTGAATATCAATGTTATTTAACATACGGAATCACTAATATTTTGCTACATGAAATTTTCATTCACCGAAGGATATATAAAAAATTATCTATTTAGAGAATCCTCTCCAATAGCAGTCTCTGGACTGTTTTCGTCACATTTTGCACCTTTGGTTTAATAAACTTTGTGATTAGAAGTGTATGCCTATGATCAATATTTAAGTATACTTAAATTGCTTGGTGCCATCTTCATTGAAAACTCCACATCAGCTAATTACAGCTCCGAATAACGTGGGTAATCAAACATTTTAAGATTTACTAACTGCAGCGTAAGAGTTTATGTTCATCTAAAAATACATAATTATGATTTTAAAGTTTTAAATTTAGTCGTTATTTAAAAACTGTATTTATGTTGCAGTGTTTGAAAATCTGTGCGCATATGTAAAAATCAGAGCAAGGATTTTTCCTTGGTTAAAACAGCTTGCAGATTTGCGCGATTTTATGCACGATAAAGGGCAAACATTTTCATTTCGTATTTAAATGTGCAAAGGCTTATATAGCGGATATTTAAGAGAAGGGAAACTTATTTATATCCTAGGAGATGATTTCTACATTTTCGAAACGTTAACATTTTATTTACCAATGTTTATTAACCTTTTGTAGTTTGTTATGTACGTTAGTATCACGCATACTCACTTATACTTCTAAAATTTTGACGGTACCCTATTGTTAGTGTATCGCTAGTGGTGAATACACCTTCATGTTTTCCAATTTGGGAATATTTGTGTTGCTAACTCCTGCAGAAGTATATCACCCAGACTATGCCGTGCCTAGAGAGAAGCATGGATGTGGTTTGGTGAACGATTTAGACCACAATACCGTGAAAGTCTTTGCGTCACCAATTGTTCTTGACACTCACATCATTGTCAACAACCATGTATTCTAGAGGGTCATATACATCTGATGTTTCAAACAGTGTACGCCGAACTAGGTATCATATCAGAATTCCAGTGATCTAGTTAAACTTGACGAGAATCTGAATAATATTAAACGGAATACCTTCCATGACATACACAATTTCCTGATCTCATTTCATTTTGTCTGGGAATACTAGAGGATCGAGAAAGCGTTTGCCTTTCATCATTAAAAAAGACATTAGCCGCTTGTTTTTCATGAGAAATGACGAAAAATACATACCTTTAACGGGTGTATAAGACTTGCATTAGTCAATTTTAGGAAGAATTGTTGCAGGATTGGCTTCCAAAAGAGCCTACATCTTATTAATAAAATATTACACCGTGTTGTGGATGCTAGTGTTTCAGTTCCGTTATTCGGTACCCGCAGTTTAGTTTTATAGAGCTCATGTTTGGCGGGGCAGACTAAGAAAAACGATTCAGGTATGTAAAGCGACCGCGTTAATCTTTTGCAGTACTCTTAACTTTCAAAAATGCTAAAACTTAATATTATTTCTATGACAGTTTAAAATTAATCCAGTTTTTTCACTGCATTCTTAATGTAGTATTTAAACTTTAAAGAAAATGCAAACAACGTGAATCACACCACAGAAGGAGGTGAAAGGAATTACTCTTGATAATATATTTTTGCAGAAATTTAACTATTGAATGTGCGCTGAAAAAACAAAACTTCTTACCACCGTTGCTATGCAAACGGCGTTTAGGTTATGTAATATGGCGTTTAGGTTAGGTAATATGGCAGAGCACACGAGGGCTATATGTCTACACTGTGCAAAAGAAATAAACTACTGAAATGCTAAGGCAATGACACAGATCAACGGATTTAAGGTAATATGGCAAGATAACCTGGATGACCACATGACTACGCCAGTACATCGAAACGGAAGATCGCACTAAGCATCTCGATTAGTCTTGGCTTTTTAAAAAAAATGGTTCGAGGAGGTGAAACTATGAAACTACGTAAAAGCTCATCGATGCCAAATATGAGCGAAAGTTATCTAGAAGAAATACTGTGGCATCGATAACCGGAATTGTTTATAAAATTAAACCTCAATAACACTCTGCACAGAATTTGATGGAAAGACTATGTAGTTTTACATAGCCATTTCAAACATCCAGGATGAGCTCACTTTAGAGTCTGAAGCGCCTAAAATATGTACCTGCTCCACAAATGGACCTTGAATAACAAGGAAATCGTCTGGCTGTATGAAGAATTGTTCAACCCCACCGTACGTGCTGCTATGCGTTTTTGCTTACCTGAGAAAGGCACCAGAATACACACTGTGGATGTAAATCTTACCTACGTTCTTCTTGAAAATATAAGAAATATACAGAAAGAAGTATACACGTTGTAAGAAGTATACACGTTTGCCACTTTCCAGGTTAAAGCCAAGTATATTTTTTTTTTCATGATACTCATCTTAGGAGGTCGAGTTGTTGGGCCACAGAAAACTGGCAGTTTGCTCGGTTCCCTTTTCAGGCGTCTGATAGAGCTGCTGTATTATTATTATTATTATTATTATTAAACCTGGAAGGTAAATTAAAGGCCACTTTGTCTTAACAGAATTCACCACGTTATTATGCTTCCTCTCGGGTAGATAATCCAGGATATGTTTCTCTGCAACAAAACAACTGGTCTTGAACCTAAGATAGATTTTATCGCTGCTACAGTCCTCCCGCCATTTGTATCTTGTAGAGGACACTGCTTATGTATTTATTCCACTTGTTTGAGTCTGATTGCAAAATAAGAGATTGAATGTCGGTTATTATTGCATTTGTTCTCTATTTTCCTTTTATGTTAATGCAAAATATTTATGGGATGGTTGGTTGGATTAACTGACTACACTGTCTGTCCTAAGGGAGTGCCTTCGGGGAGGACTGTCTGAGCAAGACAGTCTTATATTCAAGTTATATATAGAAAAAACCCGGAACTCTGAGGCAAATACCGGTGGTGGACCATTTGTGTAGGAACAGTAAATCCAATCTGCAGAATTCTTTCATATCAAAAAGTTCAAGGAGCTTCAGTGACACTTTTGCACGAAATATGGAAAAAATAGCCTTAAAATTTTATACTTAGAAGGTTCGATAGCTTTAGTGGAACATAGAAGTGAATCATATTATGCAAATAGGCAATATTTTAACTTCTCGCTGCATCATCCTGCCTTAACGTAAGATTTTTTCAATACCAAAATTATTCAAGCTAAAAATGAGCTGCTATATTTTGTATGAGGTTTTCTCGTAAAACGAGAAATTAAATACACTTACATACCAGAAGAAATTTAAGCGATTGTAAAATACGTTATTTTATACAATTGTAAAATACGAGGGAGGACAGGGTATATACATAAGCAACTTTCCTTCTTTCTTTTTTTTTATGTGGTGGTGTATTAATCTAAAATAAACCATTGATAGTGTTAACCTTTGACCGGGTGGTTAAGCTCCGAAACGCTGATAATACGTCCCGCGAGTTCCTTGCAATTAAACATCGAATTGGACGAGATTTTCATAGCGTCGTATATAACGTAAATATAAGCCAGTTTCTTTCAGTAACTCGGTAGTTTCCTCAGAGTAAGTATTCCTTCTCAGCGGATAAGCACGCTTTGCCATAAGGGAATAATATAATATTTTTTATGTTTATAAAATCTGTTTCAGTTAGGAAATTTTGCATTCCGAGTCTGCATAAAATTACCAGATCTTGAATTCATAAGTTGTATAAAAAAACAGTTTTAGACTATATGTAAATTGTATGTATATATACATACCTTCAAAATGGCAGTTGCACCATAGAACCTGGATCTTCCTGCCTCCAAAAGAATTCTAGCAAGGAGTGCCTTTAGATGTAATAATTGAGCCTGGAATTGAACATAGGTTTGTATTGTCGTTCGGAGACTTCTCAGGGATGAACAATCCGTACTTTCTGTTTCCTTACGTCTTTCAGGCACAGGAAACGTAAAATTTCCTAGCAAGTAAAAAAAAAGTCTCAGTTAAGCACTATTGTGAATATGAAGAATATTGATAGATACTCAGATGTATAACGAAAATTGTTTATTTCGGATTTTTATTTCTTTCAATAAATTATCTTAAAATATATTTTCAATTTTTTTAAATTAAAATAATTTAAAGTCCAAGAATTAAGCAGACTAGAAAAAGAAATTGCATATGCAAAGTTTCTTAAAAATCTGAATGAGTTCACTTTGAAATAACAGGCATCTAGTGTTAATATACACCGTAACAAATTTATCCATCATCAGCTGAAACGATAATACTACGTCAAAATGCCAATTACTTTATGAATATTGTTTTACAAAAACCGTATTAACATAATTCCTTACTCGCGCATTTCACCCCCTATCTTTTTTTCAGCATATGATTTAGAAACTTGATAAAAACGAAATATGCTTGTTAACAGCATAGCTTTGTTGCTTGCCACTAGTAATGTAAAATGGCATATGGTGATGATGTGCTATGCATGTTTTATTCTCTACATAAAATATGCGTCTCATAAAAGATATTACATAGTACTAAAAAATTAAAAACTGCGTCTCATCCTAGCAAAAGTCATCAGAGTTTTCAGGCAGCTGCTATTTTAAAAATCTGTAAAAAGAAATATCATCCGATACCTAGCCTTCAAGCCTGGCGTACATCGTATTGAAAAGCTTAAATTCAGAGTGGTTAGTTATTTCATTATGGCAAAGTAAGCGAGGGTTATCTTGCTTAGGAGGAAAGCTTGAAAAACTGACTCGCATTCACATTACACACACGAAACACTTCCAAACCTCCTATTCACCCATCCATATGGGACTCACCCATCCATTAGACTGCATTTCGTTAGATTAAAGTTTCGTTTTTGTCTTCTTGAGGAATGTGAGAACGGCCTAGAATTTCTTCCCTCTTAATAACTTAGTCATCCACATTGAATGGTTATTATGATAAATTTTAATTTTCAACAATTTCTTATTTCTAAACAATGATAGTTTGACAAGATCCACTACAGTTTATATCTTGGAGAATGGATATATCCTAGAGGTATAAAATCCTGGAGAATAAACTGCCTGCATAGAAGTTTTCGAACCGTATGTGCTTTGTGTAAAGCCATGTGTAACACGAATATAGGTGGTGAAAACCAATGAATGGTTTCCCCATATGAAATGAGCCATTTTATATTAAAAAGTACTCAGCGGAAATATTCCTTTCCTTAGGCAGATAACCCTTGCTTGCTATATTAGAATCTAAATCCTCCAACCATGTTTTGTAAGATCTATGGAAATTCAGCAGCTGGTGTTCAGTATTTGATATCAAGCCAAATAAAAGGTTTTAAACCTCTGAAGCCATCCATGTCTAACAAAAAATGTTTCAGCAGCAGAATTTTATTGGAAATTTTCAAATTTTGAGGTTTATTAGCTGGAGAAATTACTGAAAGTCGATTTTGAAGCAAGTTTTTAATTTATAATGAGTATTTTTTTTTTCATTTCTTCAGTTAGTATACCGCATTTTTTATAAATTATAGTGGCTTAGAATAAACTAGTCTTTTATATAATACATGATCTTACTTTTATTTTTTTACTGTGTGCTTCCGTGATAGCTTTCAACTTAAGGCTATGCTGAGCAGAATTGGAATTGCCATCCAAAGACGGAAAATGTTGTTTCTGTCAGTCTTATCCAAAAAAGGAATGGCGTACCAGAATGATTTTAACAAAAGAACTTAAAATTTTACGGAGTGCGAGCTACTTATTTCTCGTACCTAGCAGTTACAAAAACGTGCTGCAAATGTTCACAGTTCGAGGCCTGTAATTGCTGCTGTACATTAATATATATCAACAATTAAACAAAGAGGTAGTAAGCTTATCTGTTTAGTACAATGATTAGTAATTGTATATTAACGGAGCAATTCTTAAGCAGATGTTTGTGTCGAGAATACAATACGGTGCGAGTGTTTGCTATGCTGTTCAGTGTCAAAAAAGAGTTATAGTCATGCTACTGATAATGCTTACCAAATTGCTTATGCATACAGTAGCAAAAAGAGGCAGTACATTCGTATATGCTATAAGCTATACAAGGTATTATACTACAAAATATGAGATTTAACAATACTGGCCGTATACATATCGAACTTACAGCATATTACGGATAATTAATAACAGTACTATACTACTACTATTATTAGCAAATCGTGTGTGTATAACAATTTTAACAGTACCGTCACTAGTTATGCTCTATTTAACTATTGTAATATTCTAATATTTGATTCGTACATTTCACATGCAGTGTCTAAAATCATTTGTTCATTTTCCGATGTGATGATTTCAATGCCATAATAGTGAAACTGAATATTTGCATAAAACTCCAGCCCATAAAATAAAAGGAGCTCTAACTTAAAGCACTTACGTTCTTCTTGAAGTTAACCTCTTTCTGCATGATTCAAGTTTAGTTCAAACCGAAAGAACTGTCTTTTCCTAGTAGTGTAAAAGTTTGATATTTTTATGCATGTCAGGCCAGAAATGGGCCTCTTGCGATGCGCTCTGGGCAGGTGCTGCCACCTTTTACCCACAGGACGAAATTCTTGCAGAGGGAATGCAGCGGAAGTCATGGTTAAATCTGCATACTTTTAACTTGTGCGAGTGTAGGATTTACTATATTTTAAAAATGGATGGCAATTTTTATGGAATGAATCACTTCTAGAGAGATACATTTAAAGCCTATAAAGCAATGTTTATTAATTGTGGGAAAGTATGCTAGAGCAGCGTTTCTCAATATGGGAGCCTAGAAGCCTGCCTTTAACATCCTTCGTTCCAAAAGAGACAAATAAATAAACTTCAAATTAATTGTTTTATAACATACTGAGCTGAGATTCTGAGTTTGAAAATTACACATGGTAGTCGTTTATCACATTTTATTCCATTTTATAAAATTAATCATAGTTTCATTTTATGAGACAAATATTTAATGAAATTTATTACCGGCTACCTCTGGACTTCCCACTCTGGTCTTAGATCCCAAAGGGAGATTTAAAGCACTACTATTGTGGTACTTCTAGTCATTTTCATTTGGCACTGCTGGGCTCATAACCATTGAAAACGAAATGTAGTGAACTCTGCTGTAAAAATTGTAATTCAGCTTGCTTCTGCGTAAGTGTGTGAGAAAGGGTTTTCATCACAAACTCAATAAAAACAGAGTACTGAAAGCAGAGCATTGTGTTGATCTCGAACCATGCTGCTGCGGAACGCCTATAGAGGGTGCTGTACCTTGCCTGTTTTTTTTTTTAAGGTAGGATTAGAATTTGAGCTGTAACGAGATGTACTATTAACTATTAGTTAGAATGTATTGGACGGGAGTCGCCGGCCTCTAGCGGCAAAAAATATTATACTCTATTTCAGCAACTTGTAAATAAATTGATTGTTGTTGTGTTTTTTAGACTGAGCGTTTTATCGCGTATTACATACAAACCTGAACTACCAAAAAAAGAAACGAAATTGACTTATTGATAGTTACAACTTTATTGGATTAGTATTTCATACATGGATCCAAATGCAGACAACTGTGCAAGAATCGGCAACATTTCTTGAATTTTTAGTTGATAAAATAACGATTATCCGTATTATGATATCCTTAATTGTTAAAAACGAATGTAAATTTTCTTCTATTAACTTAATTGCTTAACATCGCTATAAAATTAAACAGATTGAATTTTAAGTAATTGTATTTTAAAACTATTAAGTATGTATGCTGCTATGTATGGTAACATATGCTAAAAAATTGCATTCAAAGGGAGGTAAGAATTTCTTCAGAACATTCTAATTTATGAAAGTGATACCCTCTTGAAAATAGTTTCAGAAACGCTGCGCAAGAGCTATCTCCTAGGGTAAGAATACCTTCCTGGAGTGAGGGGGGGGAGGGAAATTAGCTCATATTCATGTTGCATACACGAAAAATCTGAGGCAGCCAGCCGTCCTTCCGTTTGCCGGACACATTCGGTTTATTTGATTATATGGCAAAGAACTCGAAGGCTATCTGCCTTAGGATGCCTTCGTGAACGGTTTTCTAAGAGAAACTGGCTTGTAATCCACGTTGTACATGGGAAAAACCATGAAAACGCCGATGCAGCCAGCCCGTTCGCCTGAAATGGAACCAAGCTGAACTACCAATATTCAGCGGCTGTACCAGTTGGCCGCTGGTGTTCTACTTTCGTATACGAACTGGAGTCAAACAATCAGTGTTCAGCAATCTCACCAAGCGGTTACTGCTGCGTCAAAATTATTTTTTTCCCCGAATGATGGTTCGTCAGGTTTTGAAGAAATTTATTATACACATGTTTGCAGTAAAACTTAGAAATCCGGTAATATTCATGGACAGTCACTTTACTAAGTAGCTGGATTTCTGATTAAAGAAAGTTAATTCCTTTACGTAATTCATTTCGGAAAGGAACATTGCAGCGTACACAGCTTCTGGAAGCTTAATTGACGAAAAGCAACCAAAGGAATCCGAGCTTTGTTGGCTAGGGAAGATATGCACTAAACTGGTGGCTGCTATCTCTGATGCGCTAAACAGGCGGTCTGTTATAGAGATGAGTTCCAAATGTCTTTGCAAACTAATTATCCGCGAAATTATCTGAAGTGTGAAATTGTTTCGATTCGAAAGTTAAGATACATGTGGAAAGCATTCATGATGGTTTCGATATCTATTTTCATCCCTAAAAGAACGGTTTCTTAAATGATCATCCCCAGTTTGAACCGCTGTGTCAGCGCAGTAATAGGAAGCTGCAGTATATATATATATATATATAATATTAATATCCATTTCTGTCTGTATTTAGGTTTGCTATCAGATCAAAGTTCAAAATCAGGCGATCTCTCTTTATGTAGAGATAACTATATTTGTTTTCTTAGCAGATCAAGAATTACCAGTTATTTTATCTAAGCCTTTCTAAATATTTATGGATATTCTGGAGATAGGAGCATCAGACTGCTTTAAATAAATCTATATATTATAGTATTCTATGTGACAACGTAATTTAAAAACATTTTGGACAGTTTATCAATATATATATATATATAATGTTGTATGATCTTAAATTCATTTAGTGCGAAACGAAAACAATATACTACTACTTGCGAAATTGCTGCAAAGTAAGTTAATAATAATTTATTTACTAAATAATATTGATTAATTGATTATATTATCTCCTAAGTTTAATTATAATAATATTATCTTAAAAGAGTGAATCCTTACTAGTAAGTTATATTTTGAAAGATGTTTTGAAGTCACTTGAAAGTAAAATGTTAAAAATGTTTTAACGGGGACTGGAATTAAATCATGAATAACAAAATTTCAATTGTAAAAGGAATAAATTAAAGGCAAGAATTAAATTAAATGCATGTAATCATTGTCATTGATCGGAAATTAGTTGACTTTTCAAGGGGAACAAAACAACTCCAGTTCAATGAACAATAATTAATAAATAAATACAAAGGTGTTTCGTCTTTACTCGAGCAATAAGGCTAAGCCAAACGGGCAATTCAAGTCAGGCCAAATATTTCCGTGAATAGAAGGGATTATGAACCAATGCTGATATTCAAAGAACTTATTCCTATTAAGCATTTTAGACAATTCAATTTTGAGTGAAAAGCAATTTCTGCAGTAAACTTCGATAATGCTCGATTAACCGTCCCCCGATACCCTCGTGTTTATGCATTTGAGTTCAATATTATTTGTAAAAATTTAACGCCTGCTGTTTTAAGGCCTGTTGTATAAATTGATTGGGTATTAGATTATTTTTGAGAATTTTAATAAGGAGCATAATTTCGCGTTGTAGATCTATCGTATTGTGCAGATATTTTTAATTCGTTGTATTTGATTTATTATTGTAATGTTAATTACTTTTTTGGATATGTTGAAATTACAATTTATCAATTTGTTAGTATTGAAATTTCTTGTTTTGTCAAAAAGTAAAATTTTTTTTTGTAGTTAATGATTTGAAGATCTAGATAGTCTATGCTATTTTGTGAATTATTAGTTTCATTAAGTGTAAGACAATTTGGATAAATCTCTGAGTGTTCCATTTTATTAAAATTATTAATTATGACAAGGTCATCAATATGTCTGTAGGTGTGCTCGTAGTAATTTAACTCTTGTGGTTGTAGATTTTTTTGGAAGTTAAATTCTTTGATAAATAAAAAGATATTATAGAGCGAGGTACTGGAATGTGAGCCCTTTGGCAGACCTCTGACTTGTTTAAAAGGTTGATTTTGAAATTTGATGTAGTTATGAAAAAGTGTGCATTTTAGGTAGGTTTTCCATTTGTTAAGATTTATAATTGTGAGCATATCAGGTAAGAGTTTAGGTAGATCTAGTATAGATTTTTTCTAGAGGAAGTAGGAAGTGAGGTATATAAGTTTTCAAAGTCATATCAGTTAATGTTTTGTATGTTAATTGATTGAATGGCATTAATGACAGGAGTGTTATTATGGATGATCCAGCAATAGTTATGATTAGTGTTACAATCGTTGAAAATAAATTTACAGATTTTTTTTTAAGTGGAATTGAAAAATAATAGTCTGTATTTTTATTGTAATTATTTATTAGTTCCATTTGCTATAAATCTGAATTTTAATGGCGTTTTATGGAATTTGGGAAGTGCATATAGGTTAGTAAATCAGTTGTAGTTTGGATTTAAAGAAATATTTAGTTTTTTATGAAAAGTTTTAAGTTAGTGAGCAAGTTGCTTAAGGTCCTTTGATATTTAAATGCAACTATTGGTATGGTGTCTACAGCTGGGAAGTAAACTTTACAATCTTTGATGATTCTTGAGAATCGAATATAGTCAAACTGCGGATGCAGAAAATTTACTTTAAAATAAATTTTGCGTTGAGTTAGACAATTAGAAAGTCTGAATAGACAAAAATCGCGAACTATGTCTTTAATGATTTGTATTTCGTCGTAGGTTTCATGAATGAATGTTTTTAGTTTGATAAGGAATATATTAGTACAAGAGTGTAACCAGTTGAGAAGTTTCTTGGGGAAGTTTTCTGAGTCAAAAAAACATTTCAATTGTTTTTTCAATGCAAGTGTAATCCAAGTGGATAAAAATCTAGCATTATTTTTTTAATTTGCTTCCTCTTTTTCCTCTTTGTGTTTCGTTGCTGTAAAGTTTAAATTGGCTGAAAATCGATCTTTTAGATGCATCTCTGTGACTATGTATATAAGTGAAGTCATAGGGATAAAGTGAACGTTGTTTTAGTATATAGAGTGATTCCTGAAAAATTCGTGTTTTGTGATTGGGTATTATATCTAATATCTGAAGTTGAATAGAGTTGATGTTTAAAGTGCTCTAATTCTGCTGTATTGAGTTGTGATGGTGTACTTATTTTAGTGCTATTTTTTGTGCGTTGAATTTTTTAATTTGAGTTCTATGGTTATTGATTCGAAAGTTAAGATTGTTTTTAGTCTGTCCTATATATTTAATATGTCAGGTGCCGCAGATAATCATGTAAATTCAGTTAAATGTTTTGCATAGAAACTGTTTTTTGGGGTTGCCTGTAGTAGGCATGGCGTTATTTTCAAGTTTCTCATCTAGTGGAATTACATTAAATTATTTCAGTTTGAGATAAACAAGCAAGATTTAAAAGTAAGGAGGCTGCTAACCTTAAATACAGTAAAGTTTTTGTAGAAAAACATTTAAACTTAAAAATTAAAAAATAAAATAAAAGGTGGAGATAATATATATTGCAAGTACATTAAGTAAGTGATAAATAGCGCTAATAGCTGCTATTTACCATATAAAATGTTGTATGATCTTAAATTCCTTTAGTGCGAAATTAAGTTATTCTACTACTTGCGCAATTGCTGCAAAGCAAGTTAATAATAATTTATTTCTAAATAATATTGATTATATTATCTCCTAAGATTAATTATAGTAGAATGATCTGAAAAGAGTGAATCCATACTTAGTAAGTTCTATTTCGAAAGATGTTTTTAAGTAACTTGAATGTAAATTGTTAAAAATGTTTAATGGGGACTGGAAGTAAATCATGAATACCAATTGTAAACGGAATAAATTAAAAGCAAGAATTAAATTAAATGCAAGTAACCATTGTCATTGATCGGAAATTAGTTGACTTTTCAAAGGGAACAAACCAACTCCCGTTCAATGAACAATATTTAAGAAATAAATACAATAAATACAATTGTTCAATAAACATAATACATCGTATTTATTTCTTAATTATTGTTCCTTTAACAATTGTATTTATTTCATTGTAATCATTGAACAATTGTATTGTAATCATTGAACAATTGTATTGTAATCATTGAACAATTGTATTATAATCCCTTCTATTCACGGAAATGTTTGGCCTGACTTGAATTGCCGGTTTGGCATCGCCTTATTGCTCGTGTAAAGGACGAAACACCTTCGTATTTATTTCTTAATTATTATTCATTGAATGGGAGTTGGTTTGTTCCCCTTGAAAAGTCAACTAATTTTCGATGAATGACAATGATTACTTGGATTTAATTTAATTCTTGCTTTTAATTTATTCCTTTTACAATTGTTATTCATGATTTAATTCCATTCACCGTTAAACATTTTTTAACAATTTACATTCAAGTTACTTAAAAACATCTTTCGAAATAGAACTTACTAAGTATGGATTCACTCTTTTCAGATCATTCTACTATAATTAATCTTAGGAGATAATATATATATAATCAATACTATTTAGTAAATAAATTATATATATATATATATATATATATAGATATAAGGTATATAAATCACCTTGGTAAGCTTTTTTTGTGGTAACTGCATGAAATGGCGCAAAAAGTGTAAATCAAAAAAGTAAAAAAAAAGCAGTAGAAGGAAAGTTATGTCCTTCACCCCATCGTCGTCAGCGGGTTGATAGAACGGAAAGAATAAGCGTATAATTGTACAAGGTTCTTGAACTACTTTTTTTTTTTTTTTTTGTATTTATTTATTATATATATATCTATCTATATGTATTCTACGGGAACCTCTTCCTCACACGTGCAGATATGATGCTAAAGAGCCATGTTATTTGTAAAATGCTGCCTGTTTCTAATTCAATGGCCTTTCAGTGAATAATGTTCCCATTAGCAGCCGTACAATAAAAATCGCCAAACACTGGTATTCTGTAACTCGACCCGAGTTCAGATCCCGGCGAACCGATTGCTTAAAGGGAAGATTTCGTGTTTTTCAACATGTTAGCACGAGCCAGTTCCCTTAGAGAGCCCTCTATTTAAGCAGACAGCTATCGAATGATTTGCTTTCATCCAAAATAATCTGATCCAGTGAATAATTTAGATTACAAAATTTGAAGTTAAAATTTTTTATAAAGATAATGAAAGGAATAAAATAAATTACTTTGATTTATATCAGTTTTCAGTTTTTTTGCAGACATGTGGATAAGAGTTGATCTTGTCCATACACTTTTAACCTTGAACAATACAGACATCCAATTAGCCATTTCTTGAAGTCTTAAGCATGCATTTCTGTAAGTTGTAAAGGCACGCTTTTCTAGTTCTTGTTCTCTTAAGAAAACGCTATTCTTAGTTTCATCTGCGCGGCAAGTGACAAGCACTAATGAAAACATTGTGAACATTGAAAATTTCTTCATTTCAGGGCTGTAATTCTTGAAATTCTGAAAAGTAAATACAATTGTGCTAAAAAAGTATTTTAATAAATAACTTTATAATTTTTATTTTTACTCAAGTTCTTATTTATAATTTAAAGTTCAGGTCATAAATATAAAGTAAGAAAAACATTTTAATGCAGAGAGTAGATATTTTTTAATGTTTCCTGTTTAATTCACAAACTAATTAAAAATCCCATTTGAAATGTATTCATACTACGGCATACGCGTTGTAAGTAACATAGCTACAACTTAATACTTACTCAACAAACGCTTAAAATCTATGGCTTAAGAATTTCAAGGCTGAGGCATAAAAAGAAAGCGAAGCGGCCGATCGTGCTGAGTAAAATGTTTGAGTATATTTTACACGTAGTCAAAATTCATATCTCTGACATTTTTAGAAGGCTTTAAAAATAGTATAGCGGATTTCAGTTTCGACTTACGAATTTTACTGAAAATAACATTTTCTTACTGATTTTATGGCAAGGACAAAAGAACCAAATGCTGCAATTCCAGCACTCAAAGTGCTGGGTTTTAAGCTACACAGGACAAAACAGCGCATACTGAGTTCGCTATCTCTTGATTGGCTGTGACTTACGCTGTTAAGTTTCAAAGCTTTAGATTGTTCGGAAATTCCTTATTCGCCTGATCTGTTGCAAAACCGTACTATTGTTTGTTATTCTACTATTAAGTAAGACAATATTAAAATTGTATCTTCAGCTTCTTTGAGTGTGTTCAGCTCACAGCTTTCAGCTTCTTTGAAACAGAAAAGGGTGATCATTGCTTGATTTTCTAGACCAGATGTTAACCGTTTCCTGTTTTGAAATAACCTTTTGATCCATTCTGTAGATGATTTTATCCGCCAAAAGAACCACAGTTCGCATTCAGTTGTATTAAATTCAGCCGGGAGGGCAGAGTTGTTCAGTACGTAAGATTATTCAAATATCGGAAAGCACGATCGAGGGCTCTCTGCCTCGTGTAAGAGGTGTCTGCTGAAAAACATCGCGGCAAAGACGTTGCGGACGAACAACAGTTGGGTTGATGGTATGGAGTGCCTTTGGTTATTCCTCCCGTTCAACTTTAATCCATACTATATGCGGCTGCCCGTAATTTGTGCCATATCTTCGTGACCTCTCTCAAGCCACCTTCAACAGAACGGTGCGAGATCATGCTTCCGAAGCTGTCCTGTATTTCAATCAATACACATGGTATTCGATTCCTGTATTGGCCGGCGAATTATACAGATCCTTCAAAAAATTAAAACCTTTGATCAGTGATTTTGAGAGACTGACATGACAACACACGCCAAATATACGACAGATGAACTAATTCGTAAAACTGAAGCTGTGTTAACTGCAATATCCATAACTAACATTCAAAATCTGTTCGACTTCGCTCCCAGCCATATAACAGCCGCTATTATTGGCAGAGGCGGATGCTTTGGATGATGATTTCCCAAACTTCTTTAGCTCAGAACTACCTAAAATTTTAATTGCTTTTTCCTTCCGTTATAATGTATTTAAAAAATATTTTGCTTACTGATTTCCTTCACGGTTAATTTTAATGGCCAGTAATGTAATTTCCGACGACCAATAAGCTGCTGATCAATCTGATCCTAAACGTGTGAAACGCATTGCTGTTTTTAGGATATGTAAATAAAAATTTAATTTGCAAATATGTTTCATACAAAGTTTAGTGCTATGGAAATGACTATCCTTCATTCCTTCTAACAACGTAGGGCAATAAGTAGGTTTTAATTATGGTATTCGAAAGTGCATAACTTTTTTACAAACTATGCTCCGTCTTTATCTGTCTATGCTCCGTCTGAATTTTGACCGACAGCAACCTATGGTGATCTAAGAAGTTTGGAATAAGAAGCTTTCCCCTCATTATGTTAAATTTATTCTTAAGGTGCTTGGTTTGGGTTGATTTTTTTTCTTTTCTAAACAGTAGAGCATCTGGACTGTTTAGTATTCGTATGGGGACTTTGAACGAAATAATATGAGGACTAATTTCTTGGAGATTTATAATTTCATGCAAGAATCTGGACATTTCCTGGACTTTTTCGAACAAGATGGAATATTTGCATTTAAACTGTTGCTTAATTTATAACTTTCACATTTCTAACTTCCTTCTTTTTCTTCACTTCATACATTTTTAAAGAACTAATAAAATGCAACAAGCGTATGTGACAGCTCATTTAAAGCAATCAGCGCCAACACCTGACTTCAGCATTGCTTACATAAATTTCTCTGGCGTTAGTTAAGTTTTTGAACAAGTAAATTTTATATTTGCCTCTTTCTTCGAAATTTGACTCTCAATTTTTCTTACCAGTTTTGTAATAAGCATTTCTTTGCTGTTTTGGAAAGATTTTAAGCTTTTATTCGCCTATTCGCTTGAAAAATTCAAATGGTATGAAATATGTGCTAGGGATATTCAGACTTTAGTGACTCACTGGATTTCGAGTCATAAATAGCTTTTACAAACGGATGAACTCGCGTTCGCCAATTATTATGATGATGTCGATGGGAGCTACACACGAAGAGGAACTTTTGTTTGATTGCTTTTGAAATCGAAAGTTTTATTTAAAATTTAATCTAAGATTGCTTTTGACCTAACTGCAATTTTACATTGGCGTGTTTTTCCTTTATCCTTAACCAAACAATCTGATGACAGTATCTTTCAAAAGAGGGGCAAACCTTTTTTTATGCGAAATTACTTTGACGTTTTATAAGATTTTAAATAACCTAAAATGCTGATCTAGCTTTGTCTTTTTACAAATTATCAATGTATTCTTGTTCATCTGTGCAGTTAGGGCATTCAGCAATACATCGTCATTTGTAAGTTTTATTTTAAAATCACTCATATTTCGTTTATTATTCCGATCATTTTCGTAGTCGGCCCTCAAGATAAATTTTCTTCAAACTTAATTCGTGTAAGTCTTTCAAAAGCACTCTGCGTTATTTTTCTTTTCTCGGCACAGTACTGGATTTTAACAGTTTCTTTTGCTGATCCAAGTAAGCGATTTTTCATGTCATCTTCACAATTACTACATAGAAAATGTTCGCTGCAAATTCTTGCTTTCTTCACCTTAATGAAATCCTGTTTTTGACACATGCGTCCATTGTTTTCGCCAAAAGCAAATTGTCCTTTGGAAAAATAGGAAACTCAATATCAATACCTTTTTCATTTCCATGAATTTTATGGCACTTTGCTACAATTCAAGAAGACATATTATATAAATTATATTTTAAAATAGTGGTCTCAAAAACATTGCACATTGGCCAGGAGACTATTTGAAAGCAGCTAACGGGAAGCAATTACAGAAAAAAAAAAGGGATTTATTTTTTTAATAAAACAAAATTTGTTAATTAAATTTAAAATCTTTTACTAGCTGTTTGTCAAAACATAAAAATAAAAATATCAGATTTATACTTATATTTTACTGAAATCTAAAAGTTGGTATCTGCCTGTTGGTCTCAATTTGGATTTCAAACAGATAGCTAAGTATTAAAATTTTCAGATTGGCATTTATTCAACTACTTGGATTATATTTAAGTAAACACTAAATAATTTACTTTTAATTTAAATTAAAAAAAGTATACGAAAGCTTCTCAAAAGGGACGAAACTTGAGAATAAATAATAGCAACTTATTCTCTTTCTTTTATTAGATATTTTATTATAATAGTCTATTTTCTATTATAAATTATATAATATATCTATTTTCTATTATAAACAGAAAAAATAATATTTATATGTAAATTATTGTAAACATCTTTGTTGTTTACTATACCTTTCAGCTACAGCACTTCATCACGTTTCGATTTTGATGAAGTTTATATGCTAAGAGGGAAATTACTAGCAAGTATAATCACAAATTGCAAATACTCACTGGCAGTCTAGTTCTTTTCGTGGACTTTTTAATTTTCAACTATGAAAGAAAATGTTCTCATATAAATGTACTCAAAAACAAAGCGAGTATTCTTATTGCAAAAATTCGTAATTTAAGATATTTTTACTTTGGTATGTGCTAATAAAAGTTAATCAAATTTGTATCATAAAAAATCTTTGAGCAAGATTTTTTTATCACAGTGTAAATGAATAAATTTCATTTCTAGATTTTCGGAAAAGTTATTCACGTTCGTTTATGGTGATGAAAATAACGTAAAACTGGACTTCAAACCATCAAAATCTTAAACATTTTCTTCAAATTCTTGTCATAATAACGCTTATTAATTTACGGGAAAATGCATTCATGGACAGCATAAAATTACTTCGGGGACCGCCAGTTTGACTTTGCCATTGCTTTACTAGGAAACAAATGTATGTGATAAAATAAAGTTGGAATGCCCACATTGCTAGAATATAGCTTCGCAGCAGAATGGAACTACAGTTTTAAACAAGCGAAGCAAGCTGATGTAACATAATGATGTTAGACTGCTTCCTATTAAGCCCCCCTATGAGGATTGCATCGGTAAGGAGGTCACAGAAGGTAATGATCTAGTCCATCTCTTTAACCCTGGTGGATACGAGCCAATTTCGCTTAGAAAGCCTCCCTCCTTAGAAGGCCTCCATGAAGGCATCCCTCCTCTTTTTTTCTCTGGAGTAGTATTTACTGGCATAATATTTATACTCTGACAGTCTCTGTTCTTAGGGTATAAAATACACACTAGTCCGGCCCTAATATACAAAACGGCAGCCTATGTTTTTCCGGAGGGTAGTAGCGTTAGCCATACTGGTAGGTAGCTCGAGGATCAGTCTATTCATCAGTTTCAAAAGCTCCACATCCTTCCTGGTACGTCTACGAGATAAATCCTAGCACCGAGGGATTTGGCCTGGTTCTGGTGGTGCATGGAAATTTTAATTCATACCCCTTGGGAATGGGGCTTCCAGGGAGGCATGGTGTAAAAGGCTTTAGTCTCAATCACATTATGTTTCGGCTACGCAGGACTTGACGTCAGACTTGGGATCACGTGAGGCTTCAGAAGCAGAACTTTCGTCTGATTGG